CGGCCTCCCAAAAGCTGCTTTTTCTCCATCGGGCCCCAAACCCGCTGCCATGTGCCACTTTCCAGGTTTTCTTCACACTGCTTTGGGGTGTTTAAATTTTTTTTAAAAAAGGGGGGCAGGCAAATTACGGGCCCCACATAGCTGCTTTCCAGGGCCCCCAATCGCCATGGGGCCCCCATAAAACCGCCTCCTCATGCTGCGGGCCAAATTCCGAGTCCCGTCCCTGGCCCTGTACGGCCCCCCATTGGGTTGCGTCTCCACGCCCAAAACTCTGCTTTCCAAAGTGCCACTTTCAGGTCTCTTTTACAATGCGGGTGTGTTAAATTTTTTGACATAGGGTGCAGGGAGATTACGGGCCCAAAATAGGGTGCGGCCCCGGCCCCTAACGCCATGGGGCCCCCAAAATTCCAACCTCCCCCCTGCTGCTGCCCCTCCAAAATCTTCATGGGGCCCGTACCGGGCCCCCATTGCTGCTGTCTCCAAACCCACACTCTGCTGCCCCTGGGGCCACTTTCATCTCTTCACACTGCTGGTGTTTTAAATTTTTTTACATAAAGGGGGCAGGGGAGATTACGGGGCCCCACATATGCTGCCAGGGCCCCCAAACGCCATGGGCCCCCATATACCCCCCCTCCTCAGCGCTGCCAAGGGCCAGAGTCTTCATGGTCCCTGTAAAAGGCCTCCCAAATTGGCCCGCTTTCCCCCATCGCCACACCCTGCCCCTGTCCACTTTCAGTCTCTTCCCCACTGCTGGTGTGTTAAAATTTTTTTACAAGGGTGCCCGGCAAATTTCGGGGCCCCCCATACTGCTGCCAAAGGGCCCCCAATCTCCCTGGCCCCCATAAAAACCGCCTCCTCATTTCCCGCTTGCCCCAAATTTCCCGAGTCTGTCCCTGGTCCCTGACGGCCTCCCCTTGCCCGCTGTCCCCCATCGCCAAACTCTGCCATTGCCACTTTTAGGTGCTTCAACACTGCGGGTGTAAATTTTTGACATAGGGTGCTGGCAGATTACGGGCCTTCCTATAGCTGCTAGGGCAGGGGCCCTATTCTGCCATGGGCCCCTATATACCGCCTCCTTCATTGCTCGGCACTGCCAAGGTCCAGAGGTACTCTCATGGGGTCCCTGTTACGGCCCTCCCATTGCTGCTGTTCATCCATACGCCCTCACACAGCTATGCTCGACCTATGTGCCACTTTCAGGGTCTCTTCACACCTGCTGGTTTGGCGGTGCTGTAGTTAAATTTTTTGACATAGGGTGCTGTGCAAGTTAAATGGTCCGACATAGCGATTGACAGGCCCTCAATTCTGCACCATGGGCCCCTATTTACCGCCTCCTCCATGCTCGCTTGCGCAAGTTCTGAGTCTTGTCTTGGTCCCCCTGTATCGGCATCACCAGTGCCGGCTCGTCGCCATCGCCACACTCTGCACTGCCAACTTTCCAGTCTCCTCACACTGCTGGTGTGTGAACTTTTTTGACACATAGGGTGCTGGCAGATTACGGCCTCCTATAGCTGCCTGGCCACCCCTAATCTGCCACATAAGCCCCTATATACCGCCGTCCTCATGCTGCTGCCAAGTCCCAGAGCTCGGTCATCGGGTCCCCTGTACGGCCTCACCATTGCGGGCTGTCGCCATCGCCACACTCTGCCAAATGTGCCAGCACTTTCAGGTCTCCTCACACACTGCTGGTGTGTTGAATTTTTGAACATAGGTGCTGGCAAGATTACGGGCCTCCTATAGCTGCTGCCAGGCCCCCTAATTCTGCCATGTAGGCCCCTATAATACCGCCTCCTCATGCGTAGCTGCCAAGGTCCAGAGTCGCTCATGGTCCCTGTACGGCCTCCCATTGCTGCTGTCTCCATCGCCACACTCTGCCATGTGCCACTTTCAGGTCTCCTCACACTGCTGGTGTGTTCCATTTTTGTCATAGGGTGCTGGCAGATTATGGGCCTCCCATAACTGCTGCCAGGCCCCTAATCTGCCATGGGCCCCTATACCGACTCCTCATGGCTGTGACGTTGCAACAAGGTGGAATTCAACCCTACATATGTTAGACCCTTTACGAACAGCAAAAGGCCATCACAGATTTCCTGATGTTAAAAGCAGATAAAGGTACTCCCTGTGTAACTTAGATGTCAGCCATTGGCAGCTCATGCGTGACACCTGCGCTTGCTCAGGCCCTTTGAGGAGGCCACGCTATTCGTGAGTCGGCAGGACTATGGGATGAACGACGTCATTCCTCTGTTGCACGTCCTGGAACAAATGCTGTTAACAATGGCTGGTCAGGGTGCGGTAGACGTGGCGCACAGATCTCAACGCCACATGGCCCCTGTGGGGGCAGGACTGGAAGAAGAGGAGGAGGTAGAGGAGGACATTGGTGCTCAGGAATTATTGAGTGAAATGGGTGTTTTTTTTTCCACTCAGCGGACAGGAGTGGAGGAGCAGGAGCATCTGGTAGAGGAGGAGGAAGAGGAGACAGAGGACCTAGACGCACCGTGGCAGTATGCTGTGGAGATGGAGGCAGGGAGTCCCTCGCATTCCTTGGCACAAATGGCCCATAGCATGCTCGGTTGCTTGCGTAGCGACAGCCGAATAATAACCATCAGACAGAGGGATGACTTTTGGCTGTCCACCTTGTTGGGACCCCTCGCTACCGTTCAAAAATGGTGGCCTTTTTCACACCTGCTGAGAGGGAGGCCAAAATAACGTACTATAAAAAACACCTATGTAGTCAGCTGGTCTCTGCCTGTCTGCGCCAACGTCCATCCTCAGACACTGTGGGCCCTGTGCGCTCGTGTTCCGCTGCCATGGCAGCAGGGGAGGGGTGGGTGTGGTAGGAGCAGTGGCAGCTCCACCACCAGCAGCGGCTGCCTCAGTCTGCAGTCGATGATGAGTAGCTTTCTTCACCAGCGCAGTGAGGAAACTACTAAACCAGCCGCAGCAGCAGCAGCAGCATCAGGTGGACCTGGAGCAGGACCTCAAACAACAGGCTTAGGCCTACTTGGACAGCACCCTGCCAACCGAGGTAGACAATCCCCTTGACTACTGGGCAACGAAACTTGACCTTTGGCCCCAACTAGCTGAATTTGCCCTTGAAAGGCTGTCATGCCCGGCCAGTAGCGTGGCATCGGAGCGCGTGTTTAGTGCGGCAGGAGGTATTGCAACTCCGCGGAGGACACGACTGTCCACCCAAAGTGTGGAGAGACTCACGTTTGTGAAAATGAATCAGGCGTGGATTAGTCTGGATTTCAAACCACCAGTTCCTGACACAACTGACTAAATCCGCCATGAATCATGCCCCAAACATGTGCCACTTTCAGGTCTCCTCACACTGCTGGTGTGTTCCATTTTTTGTCATAGGGTGCTGGCAGATTACGGGCCTCCCATAGCTGCTGCCAGGCCCCTAATCTGCCATGGGCCCCTATACCGCCTCCTCATGCTGCTGCCAAGTCCAGAGTCTCTCATGGGTCCCTGTACGGCCTCCCATTGCTGCTGCCTCCATCGCCACACTCTGCCATGTGCCACTTTCAGGTCTCCTCACACTGCTGGTGTGTTCCATTTTTTTGTCATAGGGTGCTGGCAGATTACGGGCCTCCCATAGCTGCTGCCAGGCCCCTAATCTGCCATGGGCCCCTATACCGCCTCCTCATGCTGCTGCCAGGTCCAGAGTCTCTCATGGGTCCCTGTACGGCCTCCCATTGCTGCTGTCTCCATCGCCACACTCTGCCATGTGCCACTTTCAGGTCTCCTCACACTGCTGGTGGGTTCCATTTTTTGTCATAGGGTGCTGGCAGATTACGGGCCTCCCATAGCTGCTGCCAGGCCCGTAATCTGCCATGGGCCCCCGTACCGACTCCTCATGCTGCTGCCAGGCCCGTAATCTGTCATGGGCCCCTGTTGTCGCTTGTTTGGCATATTCCGCTCGTTCAGATGCTCCTTCTCCTGCTACTCCTCTTCACGGATTCCGTCAGCAGTCTTTCTTGGAATCCGTTTCCAAGAGACAACAGTTTGCGAGCACGCACCCGACGGTGCAGAAGCTGAACGTCCTCCTGTCCAAGTTGCTGCTGCCAGGCTCGTAATCTGTCATGCGCCCCTGTACCGCCTCCTCATGCTGCTGCCAGGTCCAGAGTGTGTCATGGGCCCCCGTACCGACTCCTCATGCTGCTGCCAGGCCCGTAATCTGTCATGGGCCCCTGTACCGCCTCCCCATGCTGCTGCTGCCAGGTCCAGAGTGTGTCATGGGTCCCTGTACGGCCTCCCATTGCTGCTGCCAGGCCCGTAATCTGCCATGGGCCCCTGTACCGACTCCTCATGCTGCTGCCAGGCCCGTAATCTGTCATGGGCCCCTGTACCGCCTCCTCATGCTGCTGCCAGGTCCAGAGTGTGTCATGGGTCCCTGTACGGCCTCCCATTGCTGCTGTCTCTATCGCCACACTCTGCCATGTGCCACTTTCAGGTCTCCTCACACTGCTGGTGGTTTCCATTTTGTCATAGGGTGCTGTATGGCCTCCCCATTGCTGCTGCCCTCCACCAGCCACACTGTGGCTCCACACTCTGGTTTTGGCCCCGTGACTGCCCCAAATGAGTGAAGTGTGCGGTGATTCTAAGATCGACGGCACTCAGTCTGCATGTCCAATTTCTTAAACCTCCTCTTTATCAAGCGATTCCGTCGCAGGGAGGAAATCAGGCGATATGAAAAAGAGGAAAGCAGGAACTGGTCCATTATAGATCATTATGGCCGGTGGCTCCTCCCCCAAGTCGGGATCTAAAGTTTTGTTGTTAAAAAATTTTCTGGAATGTAATAAAGGGGGTTTGGGGGGGGGGGGGGAATTGAAGGTTGTAAATTTTATTTTATTGATTATTTTTTATTTATATTATACATTCATAGTTAAGTCATTTCGTATTGAGACTATGGGGAAATGTCATCTTATTCAGGGTGGATTCTTATCCGCCACCTTCCTTTAGTTGTGATGAGTTTCTCCTGAAGCGATCGAGATCGTTGAATATATACCGAACAACGATCCTCCGACTGAGGGAACAGATCTCATTCTCTCCTCTTCACACTCCACGTAGAAAAAAAGATGATGTTTTTCGATCTGAAGGAAACGTCTATAAACTGTCATTGGTTTCACTTTCTTATTGCTTCTTTCAAATCTCCCCGCCGGAATTCTATGTGACGTTCACAGCAATCCGCCCTCTACCGCCAAATCCGATGGGGGAACCCGACCGCATCCTTTTTCCGTTTTAGGGAAGATCATTTCTTTTATTTAATCACTGAAAATCTCATAATAAAAAAAAACCGAAAATTTAAATAAAAAAGAGCCAATGTTTCCCCATTGATGGTCTGAGTCGGTTTTCCTACGTTTAAAGTTGGGTGGATGGGGTGAAATATTGTCCCATATTTTGATCCCGGGAAATGATGAAAAAGGGGGAACACAAATCCCGGGGATGTGTGTCAGTAATAACGGGAAGCAGATGAGCCCTAAACTAGCCAAGTGTGCCAGAATCCCCATCCTGAAAAGTCCCCCACCCCCCACGATCCCCCGGGTATACTGACAATGCCCCCATCCCCCTGATATGACAATGTCACCCATCCCCCAGCAGCACCCCCTGTATATCCCCCCCCCCCAAATACCCTGCTCTGGAAAGTCCTAAATTCATCAAACACAAAGCGAACCTTCCCCCCTTTTTGCCCCTATGATCTATATTCCTGGATTAATATAGGATCGCCCTCCATAGGATGGGAACTATACTTGTCTTCTGTTTCGGGGAAGATATACAATGCGATCGCGGCGGGTTTATTTTCCGGCTCCACTTAGCAGGGCATTATTCAATGTACAAAATGAGACCCTTTACATCACCAATGAGGGAAAACATCAGAACATCCCGAATCAGGGAGAATGTGGCGGCTCGGGCGGATTTGTCTTGTACCTAGAATAACATATTCTGATTTACACCTATCCAATCAGATCTGTACCAACAATGACGTCGATGTCATCACTCATGGAAGGCCGGCCATTACATTCTACAACATTCCTGTAGATTCCCCCAAACCAGAGTGCCCCCTCCAATGTGTATCCAACGAGGGAGGCCCATTGTACTACGAGACAGAATGACGAATGTCCAGGTGTAAAGTGTGACGTGTGGGGGACGCCTCCTAGCGGCAATACAATGTGATGACAGCTCAGTGATTGGAAATGGTGGCGGCTCTTGAAGAGCCTTTGTGTCCCTTGTTGGGATGGAATGGGGCCCCCGGCGGGGGATTACTTGGCGCTGGTGTACTTATGGTGACGGCCTTGGTGCCCTCGAGACGGCGTGCTTGGCCAGCTCTCCGGGCAGGAGGAGGCGGACGGCGGTCTGGATCTCCCCGGGAGGTGATGGTGGAGCGCTGTTGTAATGATAGCCAGGCGGGAAGCTTCGCCGGCGATGCGCTCGAAGATGTCATTGACGAAGGAGTTCATGATGCTCATGGCCTTGGACGAGATGTGCCGTGTCGGGGTGGACCTGCTTGAGCACCTTGTACACGGTAGATGGCATAACTCTCCTTCCTAGTCCTTCCTCCGCTTCTTGCCGTTCCTTCTTCTGGGTCTTGGTTCACGGCTTTCTTGGAGCCCTTCTTGGGCGCCGGCGCAGACTTGGCTGGTTCAGGCATGATCATGGTTCACCACTGCTTGGCAGGCTGCGGAGAAAGTGTTGCTGTAGAGCCGCCCTCATGTGCTGCTATTTATAGGCGGACTATGCAAAGGAGCCGTTCTTACTTCTCACTCTTCTATTGGAGGACTCGGTCACGTGACGGAAATGACGTCTTTTTCCTTTCTCGTGAACAGATTGGTGTAGAAGCAAGTCTGACGCTATTAGCTGAATTCAAACCAAACAATCCCCCAGCGTGTGTGACGTCATAGCATGGAGTGTATAAAAGGAGAGGAAGCGGCTGCTGGGGCCTATCTGTGTGTGATTCGTCAGTCATCTCAATCATGTCTGGTCGCGGCAAACAAGGAGGCAATGCTCGGGCTAAGGCCAAGACCCGATCGCGTCCCCGGGCCGGTCTGCAGTTTTCCCGTCGGTCGTGTTCACCGTCCTGCTCAGGAAGGGCAACTATGCCGAGCGGGTCGGGGGCCGAGCTCACCGTCTATCTGGCCGCCGTCCTGGAGTATCTGACGGCTGAGATCCCATGGAGCTGGTCCGCAACGCCGCCCGAGACAACAAGAAGACCCGCATCATCCCCCGACACCTCCAGCTGGCTGTCCGCAACGACGAGGAGCTCAACAAGCTGCTGGGCGGCGTCACCATCGCCCAGGGAGGAGGAGTCCTGCCCAACATCCAGGCCGTGCTGCTGCCCAAGAAGACCGAGTGCCACAAGGCCGCCAAGAGCAAGTAATCCCCCCACAAGGATTCCTTCTATCCGCCAACACAACGGTTCTTCTCAGAGCCCCCACTTCTCCATACAAAGGGCGGCCATACGGCTTCTATGGACACCAATCCCACACTCCTCTCTATCTCCCGCTTCTATGTCATATGTTCTCTCTGGATACATTGTCCCGGATTTCTCTGGCAGTCTCCTTATTTCTAACCAGTCAGTTCACATTTGTTTTTTATGAATATTCTGGAATGTGATTATGGGGGGAGGGGGATCTGTAACTGCTACAATGTCTGAAGGAGGGACACACAAAATCGGTCAGTGACATCATCGTATACAGATGTGATCATGGAATTTACAATACTTGTATTCACAATGTGTTACATGATTCGGTAAATATGGAAATCCATCTCCAGACTCATCAATACATCTACTTGGGATGAAAAAAGCGATGATAATTACTTCTCGGATAAATGTCTCATCTGAAATCAGTTCTCAGGTCGGATTTGGCGGTATAATCGGGCGGAATATTTTGTCTGGAACGATCTACACAATTCCGGCGGGCAGAATGTGATGACAGCGATTTGAACTCTGAGCCAATCACAGCTGTGGGCGTTTTGTCTCCATCAGCCAGTAATGTTTGTCTGACGAGAAGTCCATAGAAATGTATCCAGGAGATCTCGGTGTCGATGTTTCTAGTGCAGGAAGTGTTTTCTTGTTCTGTAGACTTTTCATTGATCTCTTCTCTACAACTAAATCAACAGACTAAATAACTAGATCTTGTCGGGTTTTGTATTCTGAGGGATTGGAGGGAAAACAGAAATCTTAAACGAATTTTCTTTATATGAATATTTGCAATGTCCTTATAACGATGTTTGGCTGATCGCAGAGCCTGGAATGAATGGAAGGGTTGATCGATCTTCCCAGATAAAACATTAAATGGATGCGGTCGGTTCTCCGTATCGCATTTGGGCGGTAAGAGAGCGGATTGTCTGTGACGTCACATATAAATCCGGCGGGAGATTTGAATGAAGCAATTAGAAAGTTCAGCCAATGACAGTTATAGACGTTTCCTTCAGATAGTATATTTATTTTATTAGTATTAGATTTTATTTTAGTTTATATTTTACACGTAATCAACGTGTCTTTGATAATAATAGAGGAGCGCAGCACGATATTTATCTATATATTGGATGACACTATTGTATGAGTTGGTGTGATGTGTTTGCGAACCTATAATTTTGATTTAATAGATGTTTATTGAATATTTTTGGGTTGTGTTTGCAGAGAATTCACTGTATTGGCTCACAGGTGGACAGTTGGTTTTGCTGGGGAGAAATTGTTTGAATGGAAGATGGCCAGAAAAATTAATGAGGGACTCATCAATGCAGATGTTTTGATGGGGAGTATTAATATCTGCAAATTTTTGATTAAGGTGATTTACGATGGTATTTTCTACTATAGGGCAGCATAGAAGAAGTCCAGTAAAAAAAAAAAAAAAAAAAAAAAACAAACATCAAATTTTGTCATAAATTTAGGCCAAAATGCGTTTTGCTCCATGTCTTTGCTAAAAACAATCCCAATACATTGCTTTATGTGAAAGTTATAGTGATTACAAATAGCGGTATAGATACTGGTATTTTTTTTTTTTTTGATTTAATAATGGCGACGATTAGCCGCATATAGCGGTACTGCAGTGCACATTCTAACACTGGGGGGGAACTGACTTGGTGCCACTGACATCCCCATTGACACCAATACAGTGATCAGTGCTAAAAAAAAAACCCCCACTGGCACTGGACAGGAAGGGTTTAACATTTGGGGGCAATCAAAGGGTTAACTGTGTGATGGGTGATTTTTGCTAGACTGCCTGTTTGCTAGACTGTCTCTTTGCTGGATTGGGATGTCTCTTTGCTGGACCCAACTGGGAAAGAGACAGCCCAGTCCAGCAAAGAAACAGACTGTCCAGCAAAGTGACATCCCCATATAGCAAAGATGGGATGTTTTGTTGCTGGACAGGGATGTCTCTTTGCTGGATGAGGATGTCCCTTCTTGGACTGGGCTCTCTCTTTGCTGGACTGGGATATTTCTTTGCTGGACCCAACTGGGAAAAGAGATGGCCCATCTAGCAGAGACAGACGGTGCAGAAGAGACAGCCAGTGCAGCAGAAAGAAAGCCCGTGCAGCAAAGAGGCAGCCAAACCAGCAAAGATACTGCCACTCCAAAAAAAGAGACAGCCAGTTCAGCAAAGGGACAGCTCGTCCAGCAAAGAAATAGCCCTCCATCAATGAGGCAGCCCTTCTTGTAAAAAGACAGCCATTCCAGCTAAGAGACAGCCCCTCTTGAAAAGAGACAGCCCCTCAAGCAAAGAGACAGCCGTCCAGCAAAGAGACAACCTGTACACCAAAGAGACAGCTTCTCCAGAAAAGACACAGCCAATCCAGCAAAGAGACAGCTCAACATCAAAGAGACAGCCCATCCAGAAATGTTACAGCCCCTCCATTAAGGAGACAGCCCCTCCACCAAAGAAACAGTCCAATTAGCAAATAAACAGCCCATCCAGCAAAGGGACAGCTTGTACAGCAAAGTTACAGCCTGTACAGCAAAGAGACAACTCCTCCAGAAAAGAGACAGAACCCCCAGCCAAGAGACAGAGCCTCCAGAAAAGAGACAGCCAATCCAAAAAATTCACAGCCCCTCCAGCAAAGAGACAGCTCGTACCAGGGGCGGACTGACAACTCATGGGTCCCCCGGGCAATAGGGGATCATGGGGCCCCTGTGTCCTTGCCCAAACTAAAAAAAAAAGCCTATGAATAAGGTACCAGGGGCATCTCATGGGGCCCCTACTGACCCTGGGCCCTTGGGCAGTGCCCGAGTTTCCAAATGGTCAGTCCGCCCCTGGCTCGTACAGCAAAGCTACAGCCCATAAAGCAAATAAACTGCTCTTCAAGCAAAGAGACAGCCTTTCCAGCAAAGAGAAAGCTTGTACAGCAAAGTGACAACCCATCCAGCAAACAGTCAGCCCCTCCAGCAAAGAAACAGTATGCCTAGCAAATAGACAGCCCATCCAGAAATGAGACAGCCCGTCCAACAAAAAGACTGAACTTAAAGCCAAGACACAGCCCTTCCAGAAAAGAGACAGCAAATCTAGCAAAGAGACAAGCTATCCAGCAAAGAGACAAGCCACCCGGCAAAGAGACAAGCCACCCGCGCAAAGAGACAAGCCATTCAGCAAAGAGACAAGCTTTCCAGCAAAGAGACAAGCCACCCGGCAAAGAGACAGCCCATACATCAAAGAAACAGTTCATCCAGCAAAGAGACAGCCTGTCCAACAAAGATGAAGACTTTCCAGCAAAGAGAAAGCTTGTGCAGCAAAGTGAAAAAGCGTCCAGCAAAGAGACAGCCCCTCCAGCAAAGAAACAGTCTGTCTAGCAAAAAAAAGCCCCTCCAGCAAAGAGACAGCCCCTCCAGAAATTAAACAGTCTACCTAGCAAATAAACACCCCTCCAGGAAAGGAACAGTCCGTATAGCACAAAGACAGCCTGTCCAGCAAAAAGACAGCTCATGCAGCAAAGTGACAGCTTTTTTCAGCAAAGAGACAGTCCAGTCCAGTAAATATATAGCCCCTCTAGCAAAGAGACTGCCCATCCATCAAAGAGACAGCCCATCAAGCAGTGAAAGTCCATCCCGTTAAGAGACAGCCTATCCAGCAAAGAGAAAGCTCATACAGCAAAGAGACATTCCCATATTGCAAAGCCGAGATGTCTCTTTGCTGACAGGGGTGTCACTTTGCTGGATTGGGATGTCTCTTCTTGGTCTAGGGCTGTCTCTTTGGCAAAGAGACAGCCCAGTCCAGCAAAGAGACAGCCCCTCCAGCAAAGAGACAACCCATCCAGCAAAGAGACTGTGCATCCAGCAAAGAGACCGCTCATACACCAAAGAGACAGCTGTCCAGCAAAGAGACAGCCCATCAAGCAGTGACAGCCCATCCAGGAAAGAGACAGCTGCTCCACAAAAGAGACAGCCCATCCAGCAAAGAGACATCTTGTACAGCAAAGTGACAGCCCATCAAGCAAAGAGACAGCTCGTCCAGCAAAGAGACAGCCCATCAAGCAGTGACAGCCCATCCAGCAAAGAGACAGCTCCTTCAGAAAAGAGACAGCCCATCCAGCAAAGAGACATCTTGTACAGCAAAGAGACAGCTCATCCAGCAAAGAGACAGCATATCCAGCAAAGAGACATCCCTATATTGAAAATACAGGATGTCCCTTTTCTGGACAGGGGTGTCTCTTTGCTCGATGGGGATGTCCCTTCATGGACCGGGTTGTCTCTTTGCTGGACTCAACTGGGCAAAGAGACAGCCCAGTCCAGCAAAGAAACAGACCATCTTGTAAAGAGACATCCCCATATAGCAAATATGGGATGTTTTTGTTGCTGGACAGGGATGTCTCTTTGCTGGATGGGCAAGTCCCTTCTTGGACTGGGCTATCTCTTTGCTGGATTGTGATATTTCTTTGCTGGACCCAAATGGACAAAAAGGCAGCCCAATCCAGCAAAGAGATAGCCCCTCAGGCAAAGAGACAGCCTGACTAGCAGAGACAGCAAATGCAGCAGAGACAGGCCATCCAGTAAAGAGACAGCTAATCCAGCAAAGAAATAGCCTGTGCAGCAAAGAGAGACATTTCCATATTTCAAAGATGTGATGTCTCTTTGCTGGATAGGGGTGTCTCTTTGCTGGATGTGGATGCCACTTCTTGGACTGGGCTTTCTCTTTGCTGGATTGGGAAGTCTCTTTGCTGGACCCTATGGGGCAAAGAGACAGCCCAGTCCAGAAAAAGGACAACCCCCCCAGCAAAGAGACAGCCCATACAGCAAAGTGACAACCCATCCAGCAAAGAGACTGCTAATGCTGCAAAGAGACAGCTCCTCCAGCAAAGAGAAAGCTCCTCCGGCAAAGAGACAGCCTGTCCAGTAAAGAGACAGCCCATCAAGCAGTGACAGCCCATGCAGCAAAGAGACAGCTTTTACAGCAAAGTGACAGCCTGTCCAGCAAAGGGACAACCCATACAGCAAATAGACATCCCCATATTGCAAAGATAGGATGTCTCTTTTCTGGACAGGGTGTCACTTTGCTGGATGAGGATGTCCCTTCTTGGACTGGGCTTTCTCTTTGCTGGATTGGGATGTTTCTTTGCTGTACCCAACCGGGCAAAGAGACAGCCCAATCTAGCACAGAGATAG